GATTCTTCATTCCTTTCATTTTGCTATTTTTCTTCAAATTATTGAAAAAGGAATTTGTTCGTTTGCATTTTGCGACCTCGAAAAGTTCCAGTAAAGATTACTCACAGCTCATCAGCACGTTTTTTACCACTTCAAAACATGTAAATACCGAGATCAAACGGTCGATAACAGATTAGCCAGACCTTTCTAAGACGCTAGGGGAGAGGAGATTCAAGTTTTAGATTTCGCTTCCATCTTTCCCCTTTTCCCACAGAAACGCCTGATACTCAGGCTAACAACAGATGTTTTTACCGTAACATGAGTCTGGGTCAAAGTGCTGACGACACGAACATAAAATTGTTTTTTGTTCAAGCGATTTATCTCGAAGCTCAATAGAAGGGCCACACGTTTCCCCGGCCTATGCATGCGTGAACACCTTTATTAACCAATTCTGATAAATAGCGTAATCTACAGCTATCTAAAAAGCAAGAAAGATATCATTTTTTTTCGGTAAGTTTGATTCAAGTAAACTTCTAAGTCATTTATAAAAAAAGGAACTATCCGTTTTCCTTCTGTTGTGATTTATTACTTTTGTATCATCTTTCGTATATAACTTGTCTGAAGAGATCATAAAATTTGGGTCATTTTAAATTTGGACTCTTTTAATCGGCCCTTGAACGAGTTTTATCGTTTTAAATTGCCAAGTAGAAGAATGAGTTGATATTTTTGCTAACCCGCTTTTCAAAAATCCAGGTACATAATTGACTGCTAGATCACCAGTAAAGTATAATACTAAATTTTACGACATTTTCTAATTATTTTGGTCTGATGATAATCCTTCTCTTTTAAATGATATTGATTTTGCACTGTGTATCTTTACCTGTATAATTTCTATGGCTAAATAAATTCCGTATACTGAAGAAACAACACCTAAAACTGTTGCGACCGCGTGGTCAAGATACCAGAGGTTTGCATGTTGGCGATAAATCCAGGATGAACCCAGTAATCCAGCACTCATTGCTGCGCCAAGCCCGGAATCTACCGAGAGAGCTCTCATGGATTGGCTTTGCATCGCTGAAGCAATTCTACATTGAAATATGCACAAGACGGTATAAATCACAAATCCGGTGATCAGAAGAATGATCATTTCTCCCGTTTTTGTTGGGTGATCTTTGATTTTCAGATGATGTAGTGAGATGCCTACAGTTGCTACTCCGCCCAAAATAAATGTTACAGCTATAACACTAGTCGCCTTGCTCTCCCTTGATGATCCAACATCTCCATTAAGCTCGTCTCGAAATCTCCAACAAACTGCGACCACGTTAACAGCCGCGAAAAAAGCGTCAAAGCCCGCTGCAAAAACAGCCGAGCTTTCGGTTTGTTTTGAGGATATAAATGAAGCCAAGCTCAAAGCAATTACGGCGATGAGTGAGATTATTGCGAGCGATAGTGCTGCTTGGGTCCAGCGCTTTCGAAATTTTTGCGGCAACGACTTCTTGGAGCTTTTTCGCTCCTCCACTAAATACGAGCTGGCACAAGGTTCACGAACTTCCTTTGAATCTTCATCTTCGCTCTCTGAAGGCAAAATTATCTTCTCTTTCTCGGCGTTCTTTTCATCCATGAGAATAACTCAGCTCGCAACAAATGCAACGAGGAATGTGTATAACTTTCATTCACTGCTCGATTTTTTTCCGGTTACACGACTTGAAACGTTTGTGTGCAAGTATCTGTTTAAATCCAGTCGGTCTGTTTATGAGCCAGTTTATGCTTCTTTTGAAAAAAAAGACACATTTCCACCAAAAGTGTTTTACAAAGAATATCATTAACTCCAAATCGCTGTCTGCTTTTTCTGGTCTTTAACAGCGGAAGATGTGGTCATTTAAACCTTGAACAATGTCTATAAATAAAAACAGTATATCGTCTAGTATCGCTGTTTGCGAGCATAACAATGCGTTCGTCAAATCGACCGTGACTGTAAATTATCATAAATCATTTCATCGGTCAGTGCGTTAAGGGCACGCTACATAAACAGTTCGCTCTCATTTATTTTTTGGATCATTTCAAGTTAATTGGAGTTATGAACATTAATCTTCCAAATGATCGTTTCCCAGGCTTGAATACTATCATGTGCCCACTTCAATCACTGAATAAAACATAAGTCAAAACAAACAAAGAAGCAAAGCAATGCGGATTTTTTTTAGAATACTAATGAAATTTTGCTCGACTTACAAAATAGCTTTAATTGATGTTGAAAACACTTTAAAATAACTTTCATTGACTATAAAAGTTAATCACTTGTCACAAACTTTTTGGAAATGTATTTATCAAAGCCTTTTCGATCACAAAGGTTGTATTAGACTGCAAAACAGTCGGTTATTTTTCTCAAAATCAGTAAAGAAATCGGTAAAGCGTGGCGTAAAAGTAATACGCGCGCCAAGCGCGCGAGGGGCGTGCGAGGCGAGAGGAAAAAAGTCTCTTCCCAGTACAAGTCTAGCTCTCTGTTTTCAGCCTCGTACATTCGTGATCTTTTGTTTGACTTCACGCGCGTACTCGGAATACGTAAAAATATACGGACTGTTTTGCAGACAAGGATTGGATGAAACAGACCAAAGAGAATAAAATTTATGTCTACAGTAGTTTTAAGTAGTTTTGTTTGCCTGTTCTTGTGTTTCTAGTGCCGCAGCTCTGAACAGAGTCAATACAAACGCATATAACAGAAAATGGTCAGATCTGGAAATGCTGGGCGTCGGAAATTAATCATTAGCTATACCTCGATATAACGAACATTTTGCTTGTTTTACCAAAAGTTCGTTAAATCAGGTTTTCGATATACGGAACCCTCGATATAACGAACAAATTTCCCCAGTCCCTTGGCACTTCGTTAAATCGACGTTCCACTGTATTTGCCAATGAAATACCAAGTGAGCTTTCGCGCGAAAACATGATATCTTCACATGTGAAAATAACATGCTGTGCCGTTAGCTGCGCTCACTCCGAAATATTTTTCAACACGAGAAGAGAGATTCTGTATCTCCAAGCGGCCATGTAATATCCTCTATGTATTTAAGGCCCCATCCACACGGTTTGACACATTCATGATAACATTAATATCAATCAACTTTATTTATTCGACAATATTTTATTAAAAATGAAGTAGCCTTCGCGAGACTATCAGCTAACGACTAAAACAAAAAGGAGATAATAATTACTTCGGCGGAGCGCGAAGTTAAGGATTCGTGCAGCTCAGGAATGTTTCAAAGCTGCATCTTCGGGACATCCAAGTTGTTTGATGAAAGAATAAAGAAATAAAGAAGAGATAATCATTATCTCTTATTATGCCAGGGTTTGAACCAACTCACGTGTAACTTGTCAGATCAGATGAGCCGCTCTAACGATTGTAGGACGCAAGTTCGTGACTTCTTTTTGTTTTGAGTTTTTGACGTAGTGACACCGAAATGAGTTCTAAAGTTAGAGCGGAAGTTGTTTGAGGTCGAGTTGTAATCCTATTTTTAGCTCGATCGGTGACTTGTGGGTTTAATTTTTTTAACTTTAGGAACGGCAAGTTAATGTTTCGCGAGGAATATATTTCCATTGGCTTTTAGGAAACTGAGTGAAACCGGAAGTGGAGTTTTGGCATTAGCGCAACGTGATTTTGCACAAATTGTTTTTTACAGGAGTAAATACATTTACCAATACAAATTTGGAAATGTCAGTTCTTATTAAGGTGGCCCGTACCTATTTATATGCGCGTTGGTTATGTTTTTGAATCGCGTTTTTCGACAGGAATGATTCCACCGATTTCCATGATTTTAGACATCCTTGATAAAGAATGGTCGACCTTTACGAAAATGCTATTTATTTTCTTATAGGTATAAACACGTTTGCGATATCGGCATATGTTCGAAACCGTATTTTTACAAAAAATGTCAATAATTTCAAAACCCTAAGACAGATTTCTCTCTAACTTCGGCAAATAAGCCCCAGAATTCTCTAGTTTTTACGGTGGCTCACAACTGACACGGCAAAACCAAAACCCTCACGGCAAAACTAAAAACCTCACGCCAAAAACAAAATACCTCACACCGGGGAAAACCAAAACTCTCACGGCAAAACCCAAGACCTCAAGGCAAAACCAAATACTTTACAGCAAAAACAAAATATTTCACGGCAAAACCAAATACTTCACGGCAAAAGCAAATACTCACGGCAGAAGCAAATACCTTACGGCAAAAGCAAATACCATGTATGGGGGCATCATTACTCATTCCTTCACTACTTGTAAACTGCACCTTAAGCAGTCTGGCAAAGTCCCCCAACCAGTGTTGTAAATTATCCCTGAAAAGCCCTGAGGGGAGTGGATAATAAGATATTTACAATTTACAATTATTTATACCTCACGGCAAAAGCAAAAACTCACGGAAAAAGTAAATACTTCAAGGCAAAAGCAAAAACTCACGGCAAAAGCAAATACATGCACCTGACCTTGGAGGAGGAAAGCCTGGAACCCAAGGTTCTCGCAAAGGATGTTGGGCCTGGGGGAAAATCCAGCATGGCGGCATTCGATGAGTGAACATGTTTTGCTCAAACTGCGGTACAGAAACTGTGCCGTCGGCGAACTTTTGTGTCACTTCCCATCGTCCTCCGCGCGCTTTCTATTTTTCGATTATTGCTATTTTTAATGGGATACCCGGCGGGATCCCTCTGAAATCGTTCCAAAGAGAGAGACTCCAGAGACTCCTGCCGGGTATCCCAATAAAAATAGCAATAATCGAAAAATAGAAAGCGCGCGGAGGACGATGGGAAGACAAACTCAGACATGCCCTGATTCTGAACTATTAAGTTGTGAATCATTTATTTGAAATAATACAGACAAAAAAAATGCATAATAAAACAAAATCAATAATGTTTTAAGAGAAGGCCTGCAATCACCTGAAGGAGGTTTTCAGGATATGGAGGGTCTTCTAATATGAAGGTCAAAAATACATTGAAATAAAATCAAAATAAGGCTAAAAACTATAAGACTCCAACTAAGTTTAAAAACTAGAAAAAAAATGCACTTTATTTGAGTGTCAATGTAATTAGCACGAAAGCATTAAATAGGGACACTATTTTTACGTCTCCTACTAGAGAGGGGACTGCCATTTTACGTGGTCATCCGAGCCACGCGAGGGTCTGGCCATTTGCAGGGCAAAGGCAGTACCTTCATTTCTCAGTCATTTTAAGACCCTGAGTGTTGGTCCGGTCCCGGGAATCGAACCCGCGACCTCCGCTCTGCAGTCAAGTGCTCTACCGACTGAGCTAATCCTGCGGCGGTTAAATCAACTAAGATCAAAAATACTAAGTACGGTATAAAGTACGCATTTACATCAGTTGCGATAGCTCGAAATTACTTTTAAAAGCATCTTTTTTAATATACAAATTGATTTAGTCTGAAAACGTTCAGTATTACTTATATCAACCAATGATGTCAGACAAGTTTCAACTGTATTGGGTATTGTACAGCATCATTTCCTCTAAGTAAGAGAGTCGCTCTTAATAATAGTACATGGGAAAAATGCAAAAGACGAATACATTGTGGTATGCAGGGAATGTCAATTCGTCCTTCCTTTGCGTTACATTTCACTTCATTGTACACTGCTCTTTACAGGGTTGAGAGTTTTAATCCTCTCATCAAAGCGAGGACTTCCGACAATGACCCAAACCTCTCCGAAGACGCCCGAAGATTTCCGAATGCAGCCGAAGTAAATTTCTGAAGAAGTTTGAGTGACAAGAACAATTGGAAATCAAAAGTCAGAAATTGGGTCTTGTACGTTCACTCTTTTTTACAATTTTGGTTGTTGAGCGCGAGTGGGGGTGAGGAAGAGTTTCTCCCCACCCGTCCCGGCTTATGACAGAACTGATGGGCATATACAGCGGACAAGCTTTGCTAATTAGCAGTCTATCGTAGCTTAACTATGGTAAAGTTTCAAAGCCAAGATAACCAAGATAAATGCAATATTAAAGTAGAGGTTTAGTTGGAGTGAGAATATTGCCATAGACAAAGCCGTGTTGACAATCATTGCACAGGCAATGATAAGTAAGCGAATAAGATTACTCGAATGCTTCATCACTGCTGATAAGATCAGTCCATTCATGGCCTGCAATTTAAAAAAAATAGCATTTGAGAAACTAGCCTGCGAGGAAAACTCTCCCGGCGTTCCCGGAGAGTTTGCTCGCAGGCTATTGAGAAACTTAGGCCAGTAACACTTGCAAAAAAAGTCACACCAGTGGTATTGACGTAAAGCCCAGCGTCAACCGGTGAAATGGCTTCGCTTTAGCTAAACTTGGTGTGGAAACGCGATGTGACGAAGAGCTTAAAGCCAGACATTCATGTGTAGCAGTGCTAAAGCCACCCCCAAATATAGGCAAATACAACATTTGTTCAAACATACCTGACAGAAAACGATGACAACAGTCCATTTTGAATAGCCACTGAAAAACCCTGAAAAAAAGCTCAAGTCAGGAAATGACAGCTTGTAATTGTTTTCAATACGTTACTGAACCCCATGTATAAAACATCTTGCACGCATGGCCATGCTACGTTTAGCGGTAAACAGTCAAGTCGCCCAAAAGTCATGCAGCCCGAAATTTTATCAGGTGTACTACACGGATAAATAAAGAAGTGTGTATAATGTATCTCGATCTTTAAGCAACAATAAGACGAAACAAGCGCCAAAAATGTGTAATCAGGTGCAACTGTATCGCGTGCTTTAAACCTTGATGAGGCGAAACACGCACGATACAGGAGTAATACATCCCGTTCTCTTAGACTTGATGAGACGAAACGAGCGCGATAAATGTATACAGTAATAACATGTTAGGACGTTGTAGAACAAGACTAAATTTCGGGGAACATAACTCGGCATTCGGATGACATAACTCTGGTTTCGAGATGACTTTGGGGCGACTTGACCGTTAACCCGTTGGGGTAAGTTCATTTTGTTGTTACTCACCGGCAGATGAATCGGAAGGCTGTGAATCCGATGTGCAGTAAGCCAATAAGTTGAACATCATGCCATAGAAGTACATCAAAGTGTTTTGCAAGTGCAGAGAGATCTTAGAAAGTAAAGAAACAAGCAGCAATAATTCATACGTACCGTATTTATTCGATTAACCGCCCTGGGCGCTTATTAAATTTTTGGACCTTGAGAGGGGGCGCTTATTCGAGGTGGGCGCTTATTCGAGGCTGGGCACTTATAAAATTTTCACCCTTTTCAACAAGTGTAGTATGTATGTTTTACAACAAAACAGTAAATGGTAATAAGATGTAACAAAGCAAGGTTTCTGCAAAACACTCTGAAGAAAACTCTGTCTTCGGGAAAGTCTCTTATTAGTACTTATTCCTTTTTTTGGGTGGTAGGGGGAAGTGGGTGGGCGCTTATTTGAGTTTGAGGGGGAGTGAGAGGGAGGTGGGGTGGGGTGGGGGTGGGCGCTTATTCGAGGCTGGGCGCTTATTAACTTTTTCCACCTTAAGGATGGGCGCTTATTCGAGGTGGGCGCTAATTCGAGGTTGGGCGCCTATTCGAATAAATACGGTAACTCAAAGGTTGTAGGGAATAGATTAAGAGAAATTAGTTTCAGTGCAACCCCGCGGTCATGACAAAACAAATCACACTGAGATTCAGGGATTATTACCGTGGAACCCGGTTAATACGGACACCAGAGGGACATACCACAGTGTCCGTATTATTTGGCTCTCCGTATTAAGCAGGCTCTCAGAAAAATAAAAACGTCACAGACGCATGTTTATAGATCTAACGATTAAAGCAGACAATTTTACCAAAAAAATATTAATTTCTTAACCGCAACTGTAAAAAAAGAAACCCCGCGATCATTGAACCTTTCAGTAAGTATTTTTTTAAACACGACAGTGGAATCCATGACTTTACTTTCTAAGAGAGCTTTTACTTCGACTGAGTCAGATGGACGTAATGTTACATAGAAACTTTTGAAGGTCATTCGCCGTTTTTGTTAGAAAGTACGGAGATAACCAGAGTCCATAAGCGGGTAGACGATAAGAGTTTGTGACTCGGGACAGAGAAAAGTGTCCTTTGTCCACAATAAGTGGATTAATTTTGGAAAAAACCATATGAGCCTTTTGTCGGGGCAAACAAAACTGTCCGTTATATACGGGTGTCCTTATTAACGCAGGTATCCGTAAAGTTGGCTGATGCCATGTTGGTGGTTTTTATAGCCTTTACTAAATGTCATGACGCGAGAAACTTAGCTACGAAAAAGGGATAGAAAAAAAACAATGTTACATACCTTATACTGTCTCTTCAGGATGTACTCTAAATAAAATAAACGAAAAGAATTGTTTTAATTAGTAAGGGCAGTATCATAAGAATTGTACCACATTTCCAAAGTCCCTTTTAACTACTCCCATCTTCTAGCACTACATATAAGCCCCTCTTACAGAATTTTTCACTAATACAACACACTCCACCTCAGTAGACATTTTAAAGTAACTGTTAATCTTGGAGACTGTCCTATCAATGCTTTGCAGAGCTCAAGGGCACCCAACGAACGAAGATGTTTCCAAATGTGTCAGAAGTGTCTCAAATGGTTTTCTCTAGGCCATGGAAGCCAGTTCGGTCAATTTCGAGCTGCCATAAACACTACTAACACTGTTCATCTCTTCGGATCTCTTAGGGGAACTTCGGTTGTCTCGAACGGCTTTTTCGTCTCATCCAAACCTGTTAGCTACCCTCATGGGCACGGCCGAACGTTCAAGGCTGTGGCGTCGCCGTACGTCCCTTAGAAGAAGAAGATTCTAGGGGGCATTTTGTCTTAAGACCGAAATTTCCAGGGGGCCTTTTTTAACAAATAAATTGGTAATAAAAAGTGAAAAATGCACTCCGAAAATCGAAGGTAAGTTGGTAGCAAAACTCCGAATGTCTTAGACGAATGGAACGGTTATCCAGAATATTTTAGCCTTTTATTATTATTTTTTTATTTTTTATTTTAGCCTTTTATTCTAGAGAAAGCGTTTTTAGAAATTTATAGGCAATATTTGCTCCCTCGAAAGGTTATTTTACTGAAGAAAGTTAATAGGTGCCCTTGAGAGTTGTCCCTTAGTCAAAGAGCTTATTGAGGTTTCTTTATTTGTGTCAGCCACTTGTGACTTATGATCGATGAATGTTCACTCCTAATTCAAATCCATGGGACCAAGACAGTCCACCTTTCACTTCACGATGACTTCGCGAAAAAAACTTCCACTTCTGTTAACTGATTTTTTTATCTCGTTCAAATCAAAATTTGTTAGTTAAAATTAAGTTGCTCCAAAGTGTTTTAGAGAATATTTACCTGTTGAAATGCCAGCTAAGCCGGACATTGTGCAGTAAAACACCATAAGCAGGAGACCAGTCACTGTGACATATACATGTCTCGCAACATTGGTGGAGTTGTTCCGTACTTGAATGATATCCTGCGATGTTTGCAATCCTCCATAGCTGAGAGAAACATTTTTTAAACCCATCAGAGGAATGTACCCGAACTAGACAATACCACGCAGGGTTGTGTAGGATTTAAATGAAAGCGAAAGTATTTGGTTGGGTCCCTAGGCTAATAAATTGAAGATGTTATGTGCGTACACTATCTGGGAAATCTATCAACAGATACACCAGTTCCATTTTGTATCTTCTGTTGTGAGATAAAGTTAACCAGGAGTCGAGTACTAGTAATCGGCTCCTGAGTTAACACACTAAAAATTTTATTTTCAAAAATGGGTTTTGCTTAATTCCAGTTTTAAAAATCACGTTATAAATATGTGTTTTGCTTGTTCCAGTTTATCTAGAAATTTCTGAAAGAAAAAACCCGCAAAATACTGCCTCACAAAAATCGCGAAATTGAATACCAATAAGGTATTATCACTACTGCTGGATAGAAAAAGTATTTGAAGAAGTGAGATCCCACTTCCTAGTCCCTAGGCCTCATTATGCCACCCGGCCTATGCGTTTCGGGTCACTTGGCCCGAGCAAGTTTTTGAGATACGTCTCGGATTCGGATATGTCACCGAAATGCATTGACCGAGAAGGCCTGGGAAGACGCCGTACAGGAACAAGGCAAGCATCCCACCTGGACAGAGAGAGAGGGAGTGCTCTGTGTTGAGAAGCTTGCATGTCTATAAACAGCATAAAGCTTTGTCTCTTACAACTTTGGCTGGATGAAAATTTCTGGATTTAATTTGACTTGGAAGACAATTTTCTATTGACAGCTCCTGTATGGACTACTGTATGGACTAACCTATTAAAGCAACCTGCTAAAGTGATGAGACCAAGAGCAGTCCATTGCTTCTCTGAGATGTTCCTGGAATGCAAAACCAAACATTTCAAACAACAATGAAATACATACTTGTTCAAAGGTTGAGACGTTTCACAATTTATTAAAATTATTTACTCACTACAAAACTTACAGAATAATATTATTACTCATAAAACAAAAACAATCCCTCTTCAAATACTAAAAGTCTCACTTCCAGCATTCAGGAATGAAGAGAAGTCAGTACCTTCTGATTATGAGCCAATACAAAATTGCAGTAATTCCTGTCTTGAAATTACATAGCACCTGTTAAAAACAAAAATAATAATAAGGAATTTGTCTTCCCTCGGAGTGTTTAGAAAATTGATTCGCTCTAAGTTTAGGCATCAAGATCTTGTTGCTTATCATTGTATCGCCAGGACCCTATATTGGGGGAAGGGGGGGGGGGGCTTTTGGCCCCTTGTCCACCCTGTTGGCCAGCCCTGTGTTCTCCAAGCACAACCAAACTCTGAGTTTGAATGGACGCCACTCTTAGGAGGTTGCCAAGGTTATGCACTGCACTTGGCGGCACTTCCAGGCTCCGCCAGCCTCACAGGCACCTCTATCCACTCTCATCTCTGTTGATGCATTTTAAATGTGGCTGAATGAAATTAAGGCTAAGTTAAACTCACCACCAAGGCTGGCTAGCAGCCTCTCGTAAGAGATATGTGGGGGTTCCCTAATTGCTTTGCAGGGTTTCACGTGTTTTTTTACAGTTTTTCCCTTAAAGTCAGGCCATTACATTTGCATGTTGCCTGTCATGCCTCTAGCTTTTGAAGGGTTTTTCTCTTCCCAATCTAACTCTCCCCCCCCCCCCCCCCGCTTTGGTATGTTAAATATGTTAGTTTCCAAAAGTAAGCAGTGTGACGGTACTTCTTCTTCCAAAAATGTAGCTGTATAAATGGTTGACAAAATTAAGAGCACCTCCCCCAAAAACTGATGGCCAACTCTTAACTGTAGCAGGTGCCAGTTATTATCAAGCCAGGGGAAAGTACGAAGGGGAGAGCCTTTTCTCCCTTTCAGACACATCCTTGAGATTTCTCCTTTCTCCCTAAGAAAACAGGCACCTCAGGTTAGACACTACAGGGTGATGTTTGCATAGTCATTGACTGGCCTGCAGCCACACAATACCATCCTCACACCACAACCACTGCAGTAACTTTCACCTCGTTTCATGGAAGACAACCTAACCAGCATCCTAACCCCAAGAAGAAAACACTCCCACTGCTTGCATTTTCAGAAAAAAGGCCATGTTTAACGTAACAAGTCAAAGTTAAATTCAGTTTGAAATTGTCTATGCTAGGTTGATTCTCAATCTTCTTTGTTTCCTAACCTCAATTGTAATTATTCAAAAATCACCCTAGGTTAAAATTTAAACCTGAATGTAATTTGACCTGCAACATTTACATGTTCTTCCCGGTTTTCTAGCATTTACATGGTTCTAACTCTCCTCCCCATTGTTAAAATGGGGTACAAAGAATTATATAATTATGTGAAGTTGCCAGTTGAAAAGTGTAGTAACAAAGCAATTGAGTACATGAATGTACCTGGAAGCTGGCTGGATCCAAGTAAACCTGCACATGAACAGCAGTGTTGTTACTTATGCAGTAAAGAAATGCAGGGATAGAGAAGAAAACCACTGTTTTTATTGGTGGATAGTGTACAGTACCACGCCACATCTCAGGCAGTAGAAGTATCACTGAAAAGAGAAACTAAAACAAGTAATAAACAGTCAGTTAAGTGTGTGCTCCCATGATAAATTCTCCATAATTGCCAACACAATTAGAAATGGATAATTATATACTTTAGGAAAAGTTTACAACCTGTGACGATTGGAGGGATTTCCAAGGTACTCACTTTTAGCTTAGTGCCCGCCCAGTAAGAAGCTTTAATCGGAATTCCCTTGAACTTCTGATTCAGTGAAGAGGGAATTTCCAATGATGCTGGGACTTAAGTTTCTCAGTTAGAAGGTACTTAAGTTTCTGAAAAAATTCCTTATCTGGCACCTCATGCGCTGCTACTATACAATTGTATTTACAAACTCTTAACCCTCTAAGACCCAACATCAATTATAGAAATTCTTCTCCAGAGCGGTATCCATACATATCCTAAAAATAGTTTGAGAGAACTTGATGAAAGATCAAAGCATTTTCCATTTGGTGATCACCTTATTTACTCTCAAAACCTATTCTCTAATGTTTATGTATGGACATTGTAAGGAGAAAATTGTTTTTTGCCATACTTGGAACTTAAAGGGTTAAGCTATAGTATACTGCAGACATTTGCTCATCACCGGCGAAGGGAGTTGACTGTTAGTTACTCTCATGTCACACCTTGATAACTTCGCTTAACAACACCACTGATGCTGAGCTGAATGGAATCTTTCCTTGGTCATTTTTACACAAGTTGATCAGTATTGCATGTGAGCCATAGATAACAACTCTGCCAATAGATGAGTCATAAACAAACTTTATTAATAATTATTCCATGGAATATTTAAGTTGCAGTTCTTTAGAACACTGTAGTCATTATTGTTGTGAAGAACATCATGGATGTTAATTAATAAATAAAATTTTTATATTTATATTTTTCCTCTATGGCATTGATTTTTCCTGCTTTGCCAAAATTTTTGTGGGATGACCCAAATTGTTTAGACTGCTTTCGCTGATATTAATTCCAGCCTAACTACATATTATGAAAATTCAAAAGGAAAAAAAGCCTCATTTCAGCCAGTTACTGCTTGCGATACACGTTATGACAACTCATGTACTCGGTACATGGAAAATTTTAGTTGTCTTCATTACACATGTACTTTTTATAACCTTGTTTGTTGTAGGAAAAAAACAACCACGGTTCTTATACAGGGGTGTTTACTGTATGATATTCACCAAGATTTATTAGTCCAAAAGTAAAATTAATTCAAAAAATCTAATTTTTTCCTCACCCAGCTACCATCATTACTTTCCAAAGCACTTTCATCAGAGGACTTGAGAACTGCTCAGTGGAAGAAGTCTGAGGTAGTCTGGCAAAAATCGATCTGGACATCATTTTGATGGATGAATGCAATAACTCTATGCAATACTCTAATTGGAAAGAAAAACAAATTAAAACAAATCGGTTAAGATAATAATTGATACTCAATAAACTTGCAATAATTTGCAGCTAGGAAACAGATCAATAGATTTACTTAGGTTTTCTTTACCCTTCTTTACCTGGAGTATTAAATGTAAAACCTAACTGTATGATTGACTTGCAAAACGAATGCCATGTTGGAAATGGAATTATGCCTGGGCTGGGTGAACTCCATCACAGGTACCCCATTTTGAAATTTTTTCGCGCATCTACGAGAAAGCATCCTTCAATGGCCAATGATTCTTACGCAGATTTTTGTTGTTTCCAAAGGACCACACACAGCATGAAGAGAAAGAGATGCAGGTCATCGTTTTCTAGATCCCCAAAGGTTGAAAGAAACATATCCTTGGCTGGGATTCATTAGCAGAAAAATTTCTTGTGGAGCTTGTAGCAGTGTGTGGACTCAAACAGTAGCGCTAAGCAGATTAGCAAATTGCAACTATGCTTTTATCGCAGAAACAGAAAATTTCTGTTTTTTTTTACCAGTTTAAAGTTGGACTTTCTAAAAATGTATTGACTGTATTTATAAAGAACTGAAAACAAACAAGATACACGAAGGAGACTAGACACTGGAAGGAAATAGTGTTTCCACACCCACACTGGGTATATTTTTGGGGGGCTTTCTTTTTTTCTTTGACCAGTGACTTGTCCTCGTTGGCTAGTGATTTAATTCACTTGATAGCCCACTGCCTAGCTACTAGTGTCCAAACAAGTTAGTGTTGAGTACTGGGACCATATTTCAGTTTAGAAAAAGAAAAAAAAATGTGTTGTTTTCAACTACTTTATAAAGCAGGTGCGTGAAATTAGGAAGTTTCACATTGTAGTCGTACAACAACAGTTAAGAAATATACAAAAAAGCGTGATGCACATGCAAAGTTGTTGTTTTGCTATCTAAACTTATTGCTTTTTTCCCGTTTTCGTTACCGTCACCCTCGACGTTGCTTAATGTTGGGATCCAAAAATTTTCCTACCATGCTAACGTGACGTCACACTTCTCCTCTCTATGAAGGATGTCTCCCTTGTTTACTTCAAATCAAATGTGACAACGCACTTCCGCTATGCACATTGTTTAAACGTGTGTGATATTCTGTGGTGTGTTGTTTGCGTGAAGATTACATGAGATAGAGATTAAATAATAGAAGGCACAAACATAACAAAGCATTGACTTGAGACTTAAATAACGGGCGGAAAATTAGCTTGATGATCGATTCATGACAAGTGACAGAGAGTAACTGACGCAACGTACTTTAGAGTAAAGTAGACTTCAAATACGTAAATAAAATATCCATTAGAGCTATAACAGACAATGTAGCAAAAGAAATAAGTAACTCAACAAACCTGGCGATTCAACAAGGATTTGTAAACAAGGACTTTCTTCCGCGAAGTCATCCACAACAACAAATGCAACTAAGCAAATAATTTAATTTCCGGAGTCCCGAGAATCTGGTACCCAGAGACCTCCGAGCGCTTCTGCATCCCGAGTCCCTTCTCAACTTTCCTGTCTTAGGAGACGGCACGCCTGGTGGTTTCTTGCAGGAGGTGTTAGGAGATCGTCGCTGAAAAATGTCTGGAGAAGCTGTTGTTGTCAGTGGAGCCAGCTTGTGTGTATTTTGTAGCCTCTTTGAGTTGAAACAAAGCGCTGGCTATGTATTGTTTCATATAGTTTGTAAGTAGAAAAGCTTATGAACGTAGCTAGTATAGAGCACGAATCATCTGATCTGCAAATGATCATGATCAATGATGCGGTCAAGCTATATACTGCACAATGAAGTAGCTCTCCTTTGCTTTCACGTGGGTAAGATTTGCACACAGAGCGATCTCATACTATTTCACACGTCAAACAGAGTATGCATTATAAATGCATGGGCAGAGCTGTGAGCACTGCGAGGAGACCGAGGAAATCTTACCTTCTCTAAGTTGATAATTTTAATCATAATGAAAATACAATTTCGGACTGGTTGAACCCCAAGGTATTTGTTTCTTTAATACCCTCGTAGTTATGTCCAGAAATGTATGCTAATGAGATTCATTCCTTGACAGACATCCATCACATGTACAAAGTGTCCTCTAGAAGGGTGTTTATTGGGCATCGGAGATTGGAGAATTCTACGTTTACTACATTGAATTCTCCAGCTAACGTTCTTTAGCCCATGACTATTTTTTATTCAGACATGGAGCCTTTTTCAAAATATTCTCCTCTAACCTGCCATTCTTAATGAAAACCCTGCTCTAGCCCTATTACTCCACACTGAAGTACCCAAGGTCTGACTTGTGTGCATTCCTGGACATAAGTGCCAGAGTAATGACTAGCTTCAGTGATGCAGAGGAGGGCTGAATTTTTTGTAATCTACATGTTTTATTTAAGTATTTTTAGTTGCTTGTCTTCCTTCAATGAAATCACGATGGACAGTGGGTATCAAGAAATGGTTTACTTTCAGGTAAAGCTACATGTATGGCTATTCAGTGTTTTGTTTCCCATCACTCTCTCTTTCAATAAAAGAGCAAAATTATGGGACAAAAAGAAAGCAACAGGTAGAATAGGTGATGACTTAAGTGCAAGATTATGTTGTTCAGCTAGCTAGCTAGGATACTTCATGCAACAACCACGTTACTGTAATTTATTTATTCGTGGTAGGATAATTCATGAAAAGGAGCCCTGAAGAGCTGATCCCTAAAGAAATTCTTGTGAATGTGTGAAGACCAGCATTTAAGGACTTTTTTACTCTTCTAGTAGTTGATTAATAGTGCTAAGCAAAGAAAGCCAATATGGGTAAAAGATCTTAATCTAAAGATGAAAAAAAACACAGACTTAAGCACAGCGATACCAAGAACTTGTTCAATCACTCCATACTGGCCTAGTAATAAACCTCGCCTCGTACATACACGTAACAGCCTTTTCATTTTCAGGCCATTTGCTAGTGATGGTATGGAAACTGGCTCACTTTTAGTTCCAATGGTTCTTGCAAGTCAAATAGCATTCATTGAGAGATGGCCAGATAAAAATCTTAAAGTATCAGGTACTATAAAGTTATATAATATAATTTTAAAACAATGTACATACTTGTCTCTAGATTTCTGATCTCCTGAGGTTAATACCTCTGATTATATATAAAGTACATGTATGTGCAATTAATTAAATTTTCGTATTATTCCAGTGCTAAACAGATCCTATTTGCTGGCCTCTCAACTGATGAGTATGTTCACAGTCTCAGTGATGTTATTTTTAAACAACGAGAAACTACTGGTCTCTTCATTCTTCTTCTTTCTGGTAACAACATCAATTGGAGCCACAATAAATGTTCACTTTGCTGGTATGTATTATCTGGTCAATAGTCCAATAATCAGTAACAACACTGACTATCATTTGAAGAAAAATTGTAAACTTCACACAGATATTTTCATCATTATATTAATCATCACTCAGCGTGCAAAGAAAGTAGTGTCCGATAGCCCAGGGTTAGTGGATTTTGCTATCGGGCTAGTGAATTCTGTTTTTAACTTGCCCGACGGGCAAGTGATGTTCTTTGAGGAATTCGAATAACCGAAGAAGTGTGAAATCAATTTTGCTCAACGAAAAGCTTTTGGGGCTAGTTGAAATGACGTTTGGGCTAGTAAATGCTAGCTTCAGCTTGCCCGAATGGCAAGCTGTAAAAATGATTCTTTTTGCACCCTGATCACCTTTGCTACCATTATCATTCTACAAAAGCAACTTTATTTCAATCTTTCAATTACAGTTGACCCTCCGTTAAGCTGCCACCCTCAGGGTACCGGTATTAGTGGCCACTTAATGGAGGTTGGCCCCTTGATAGAGGTTCGTCATAAATTAGTATAATCTTTGGGAGAAACATCCCATTATTTTGAAACAAACGTGTGACAGTAGAAGTATTACTGATTATTACTGGTTTACAGTTGGTCGTCACCTTTGATCTCTGACTGTATTTTTCTTCACCATATTCTTAAAATGAAGCCAAACAAATTGTGTCAAGGGTGTCAACAATGGGAGAGCTGTTGTTGGGACGACCATAAGGTGCATGCCGCAGCCGCCTAATAGAGGTTTAATTTCTCATTCTTTTCTTTTTGAGACTGATTAGTAGCCACTGTAGAGGGTGGCTGCTTAATGGGTGGCCACTTGATGGAGGCTCAACTGTATACAGGATAATACTTGATTCCCATACAACAGCTTAACCTAGTCAAGATGGACACAGGAGACATCTTCAAGATTGATGACACTCAGATATTGCCACTGTCTTTGCAAATCGAAATCAACCCGTACTTACTACAAATATGTACCTCCTACCATTTAGTTATTGTCCAGAGCGTTAAACTCTCATAGCAAGGAAAGCCAAGCCTAAACATTTTATTTTGCAGATATAGATGTTATCCGAGTGTCCATATGTGTGTGTTTGTTCTTTGTGGCTTTATTTGCCATCCTGCGATGGATACCAAAATCTTTTACTGTCGGTGAAGCAATGATCATTACGGAGGCAATAGTTCTGCTCTCAGTTGATTCATTTGCAGATCTTGCAATAAAGGTAAACTTGTTGTAAAATATTTTAATGCCTTGACTGAGGGTTTTCATTAAATAAATAATTATGCATTTAAGCAAACTGATTGCAGGGTTTGAAGACAATAATTTATACATGTACATGTGTTTTTTTCTTCAGATTCAAATTTTTTTGATAACAGTATTATGTCTAAAAGTAGTTTGAGTTTGATCATCCTTGTTCATGCAATTACCACACAAATGCTTACAACCCAATTTTGAAGTTTCTTGATAGCTCCCATAATCACTTTCACTGTATCTTGGTGACTGAAGAATGATATGAATGGGTGATAGCCCTCCTTAGTATTGAATTGACCTTTGCATCAAGCTTCTTTTAAATGAAAATTATGAGTGAATCAGAATAAAAACAGTAATGTTGCAACTTGAATGTTTACAGTTGTCTCATATTTGGCCTCCTTTTCGCAACATCATTGGGATCCATGAAGAGCTCCCCAAAAGCACTCATTTACACTGGATACAGGTATGTGCCTGGCAGAATTGATGGCATATTCTTTCCATACCCCCTCGTTATTTTAATTAGACCAAACCATGGCCCAAAGAGGGAAAAATTTTCATGTAGCTCCCCCTAGACTCAAAACCTGGATGAGCATCCCCCCTCCTACCTCAATGAAGGTCTGGACTCATTACTGATTTTTGTGTGATGGTGTACACATATTCTAAATTCATCATAGACACAGGGGAGGATCTGGGGGGTTGAATTATCGGGTGGCTAGCAACTCCCCTTTATAAGGACAGCCCAGCCAACCCTCAAAATGCACAGTGATTTACCTCTAGTTCCTCTCTTTTGTGGTGTTGCTTAAATTAACAAATACCAGCAGTTTGCAGTGCTTGGTAAGTGGTATCAGTCGGCTTCCCTTCTATAAAAGATCCTGGATATGCCCCTGAGTCATTCAGCATGACTGATCACTGTTTTCATTGCTTGCAGGTTCTAATTACAGGCTCACTTACTACAGGACTTTTATTGCTCCCAGTTTTTTATTACCTGACTTTAGTTCGGTGAGAAATGATTGCCCACATTTTTAATCTTAAAGCAAAAATTACATGTAAGTGTGTTGGCATTATTCATTGCTTATAGAGTAAGGCTACTTAGGACTGTGAATTTAACTGGATAAAAATATACATCTTGCAAAAAAAGACTATTGAGCCTCAGAAAACAGCCAACTCTTCATGACGCCACCACTGGTTTCCTCTTAAAATGACATGTGAGAAATGAGCGCAGAAATTCCATGCTAGCCATGTGTTAGAGATCAGAGAATTCCCCATTTACTATGTAGAATTCTCCGGGTAACGGTCTATAGCCTATGACAATTTTTTACTCAGATGTGGAGCCTCTTTAAAAATATTCTCCTACAACGTTACACTCCTCTCCTGCTACTAGAATTCTTAGTGAAAACCCTGGGGTAGTGATGATTGCTTGTGCTGCGATAGAAATGTCTGCTTCAACCAATCAGCACTACCTTGATCTGGGTGGTAACATGTGTCACCATTTTTGAGCTTGTTCCTCAAAAGTGATTGCAAGGAAACCAGTGGTAGCATAGTGGAATGTTGGCTGTTTTCTCAGGTTAAAGATGATTTGACCTGTAAAAAATCTTCAACACAGTTGAATCTTCCATGAATAGCAACACTATCTTTCTTGTTTGTCACACAAAACAAGTGTCTGTAACTAGAGCCAAAACAAGACATCGGATTAACATGAATGTATCTTATAATGCACCTCAAAATAAATAGTTAATGCAAACCACAAAAAGTCACCCTTCCAAATTTAGAGTCGCATGCTCACTTCAGCTTTATGTGATATTAAATTATCTTCTTTTTGAGCATGAAACTTGCTTTTATTCTATCTTCAGAGATTACTGGGAGACTATTACCGGGTATGTGGCTTTCTATGCTGCCATAGTCTTCACATTCTTTGCATTTCTTCTACCCTGGACTGTTCTTATTCTGGGAGGCGTAGATCCCTTTACGTGGCTATGGACGTACCTGACCAAAGATCAGATAAGGGTAAGATTGTCAATGAAGTTGTCTTTGATAGAAAATCGTCTTCTGATCATGAGATCATACAGGGACCTTGGAGATGGTGGAGCTGTGTTACAGGTCAAAATTAGATTCAGGTTAGAATTTAACAGCTACTTCCTTTTTTGAGATAGTTGGGGAAAAAATTAGAAAAAGAGAAAAATTACCAGGTTTGTATTACTAGTTTAAAAAAAGAAGAAAAAAGTTGTCCCGGGAAAAAAACACACCCTCCCAGGCAAGTCAACTTAAGCGAATGTTTATATGAGAAAAAAAGTTGAGCCCTTTGCCCAAGCCAAAAGCTGACTACAGCGCTCACACTGTCATGCTCTTATTATGGAGCTTAAGCTACAACGACGGTAATGGCAAGGCGAACGGCAAAAAAGCAACAGGGTTATATTAGCAAAACAACAACTTTGCACGTGCATCAGGCTTTTTTGTACATTTCTTTGCCGTCGTTGCACGACGACAAAGTGCCAAATTTCACTTTTTGTCGAGGACGGGAACACAAGACAATAGGGCCATTTATACGAGGAAAAATAAGACGCGTCTTACATAAGACGCGAACTGTACCATTTATACGAGCATGTCTTATCTAATAAGACGCGTCTTAGCTAAGCCGCGTCTTATTTTAGACGAAATGTGCCGTTTATACGGAAAGTTCGCGTCTTATTTAAGACGCGTCTTATTTTTCCTCTTGTAAATGGCCCTAATGTTCTTTTGAACTTTGATACAGTCCTTTAGAATTCAACTTCACAAAATTTTGCCAACATCTGATGAAAGAAACCAGATGGAATAAGCACCATTAATTAAGTTTAAAGCAGCAACGTTTTGGAGCGAGGAACGTCAACAGGAAGTCAGCCTTTTTCTCTTTTTATTTGCCTTGACACTACCAAATTTATATTGCTAAGTGTCTTTACTGTTAAAGAGACGTTTTGCCGAAAAGCTTGCTCAAAATCACAGCTCAAGAATGCAAAAAGTCCACTTTCGGTTGACGTGCGTCGCTCAAAACGTCGCTCACGGTGTTTATATGGAAAAAATGTTGGCCGGCTAGGAGGGTGACTCTACTATCGGAAAAGGGTGATCCCCGCTAGGCGGGCACTCTTCTAGCCTAGCCAACTTTTTGTTTCTCGTGTAAACAGTTCACCAAGTTATGTTAGAAATCTAGGAAAAGTTGGCTCACCTAGTATAGGGTAGCTCGGGTAGCTCGGGTAGCTGAGTGACTTTTCTACCCGGGACAAGATTTTTCCAAACAAACGGTACCTCAGAAACTATTTTGATACTTAAATGTCGATTATTATAATTATTAAGAGGTGAATTGTCTACGCAATGAAAATGTTATGCTAACCTTAAGTTGTTTTTTACAGTTTTCCTTTTCTCTTCTCGATCAGTTGAACCCTCTTGGGTTTGAGTAAAAAAGTCACATTTTTATGTACTAAAAATGTCTTTTTCCTAACTAAATTCCACTGATTGTTGTCTCTATTTTTCCTGTTCTATTCCAGTTGCAATTAATTGGTTACTGGTTCTGTGTAGTTGCTATTGCTGTTGGCTTCGTCGCGTGGAAGAGCAGACGTGCACGAACTAACGCATCTAGTACTGTAGTTCGTAAATGCTTTCATCTTTTGGCACTTGCTATCTATATCCCCGGTGTCATCTATGAACCCTATATTACACACCTAGCTTCATCAGTTGCTGTAGCTGCTTTTATATTTATTGAGGTAAAAAAGTATATTCTACGTAAATTGTGTCTTAGCATGCAGTTTTGTGCGCAGCAGTGGAGATCCGGCATTCAATAGAGCGTTTTCACTCACGTGGCCAGTATCTATGCAAATTTATTGGAACAAAAGAAAGTGTTTGCATAAGAAAAGAGTTCAACTCCCACAAGATTGGTTTAGGACACCAATATGGCCGCCGATTGATAGCAAATTAAGGTTAGCCGGGCTGGTTCGGCACGTGCGTCGGTTTTCTCATAAAGTTGTCGTTGCATTTATATGAGAATGCGGATGAGAATGCAGCTCGCCTTCTCATATAAAGGTAAAGGCCCAAACGGCCTGAGCTTATCCCGGTTTCATTAGCACGAAACACCTAGGAGTATTGCTACTCCTCCCGGGACGGGATGCTAGTCCATCGCAGGGTCAGCCCTCAGCATTATGTCGCAGGTACCCATTTATACACCAGCTGGGTGAAGAGAGACAAAGTGGAGTAAAGTTCCTTGTCTAAGGAAACAAGACGACGGGCGAGGCTTAAATCCCAGACCTCCAGATCCAGAGTTTGAGGTGTTAACCACTCGCCCACACACGCCTCCACAATCTCATATAAACACAACGACAATTTTAAGAGGAAACAAGGCATAAGCCGAGCCAACCTGGTAAAGCAGGCCAGCCCGCCTAACCAGGCTGCTTCACCATCAGTGACAACACAGAATTCGCGGGAAAAACCTGTTAAAACAGTTTCGGGTCCTTCCTTTGAAGTCAGCGGTTGTCAAACTTCCCTCGGTAAACGACAAAACGTGATATTTAGCTGACTGGTTACCTGGTAACTGATGCCGCGCACCAAATCTGGACGCAGTTCTGGATCCTAACTCGATGGCTGTTGCAATTTTGCGCTGCCAGTCAATTTTCCCGCGGTTGAGATGATTTGGAGATAGTGATTGTTTCCAGTACGTAGACCTTAGTGAGTTCGTCCTACTTCCACGCTTGCTGCTGATTACACCTGTTCCAGGCTTTTGTCGCAATTGAGTATACTAAAAAGTTGTTTTGCGTGTTTTCTTTATCTCGCAGTACATCAGATTATACAGAATAGGCCCTTTTGGCTCATCAATTCACTCTGCTTTGGAGGTGTTTTTAGATGAAAAGGACGCCGGTCCTTTGATTTTAACCCACGTGTATTTGTTGCTGGGTTTAGCCGTACCCTTGTGGTTATACCCTGTGGATTATAGTAAACCTGATTACACTGGTGAGTATATTATATGGGTGACCACTAATTCAGCGAAATACTCGACAATCAATGCGTAGATATACCATTTTGATTAAGAAACTTAAGAATCTTTTTTCCTCTCTGTCGCCCGCCAGAAGAGCTTAGACCGAGGGAGGCTGGTTAGGAGTCAGTGTATTATGAGATTATCGACACAAGACGTGCAAAGTCAGAAAAGCATGAGGAGCATTACAAAATCGCCAAGTTTGGTGTCAATTAGGTCCGTGCCGAACAAGATCCAGCCACTTCAAACTTTACAATTTACTGAGAAATGTATGGATTGCCGGACATCTTCAATATATTTCTTAGTAAATTTTGAAGATTTTGAATTCCCTATCTCCTTCAGTATGGGCCCAATAAATACCAAACTTGACGGGATTTTACAAACCTCGGTTTGCTCTTTTTAACAATATGATTTTGTCTCGTACGTATTGTTAATCCCATAAGACATGGACTGGCGTGTACTTGCGGCGCCCACGCAGCTCGCGGCAAAAGAGGGACGACTCGCAGTCAGGTTTTTTTAAAATGCTGAAGGTTTTTTATGGGGGTGGGGAGGGGTCGCCATCTTCATTTCTATGTATAATAATACAAAAACAACGCGCCAGTAAAACTGCCTTCTATGCAAGCTATAATTTATCTGCTAATTTACAGCAACAGACGGGGAACTCCTTTTTTCCCCCGCAGGTTGTAAACTTGCATTGTATTCTGGGATACTGGCCTTAGGAATCGGTGACACAATGGCGTCAATTGTTGGAAAATCTCTCGGGCGCTTTCGCTGGCCAGGTAAAGCTTGTTTGATATCATGTTCTGTCCTTAATTGTCACTGTTGCATGCGCTGTGTGAAGAGGAATTTTCACCCGTGTTGAGGTCGGGCTTGAAGAGACTAGGTCGGCGTTGGGTCGAATGGCACAAGTGGTGAGCTTACGCAACAGGACGGCAGAGCAGAGAACGGCAAAACGTTTGTGTATGACAAACGGGACAGGGCTATTACTTACAAGTTTTGCCGTGATCTTTACTAAACATTACTGTGTTTATCATACATGATTATTGTCAAGCTTGTCAGACAAGGTTTGCCGTCTTCTCTCTTCTGCCGTCCTTTGGCGTACGTTGACCAATGACACTCTGTTGTTACGGATTTGTAACAGTTTCGTGAGTATGAACCTCATAATAGCCCCCCAAAAAAGTGATAACGTCCACAAGGCCACGCCATGACCTCGAACCGCCTCAAAATGGCCGCATTATTTATTGTCTTTTATTTCACTGGTCACAGTCATCTTCTTCCTGCTGTCTCGTACTCTCCACGGGGAGTGCGTCTTTTTGAGCAGAATAATTCAAAACTACTCTTCTGATTGGTTGTTTTGTCTTTGGACTGAAATCTCCGATATGAGCTGTGTAGTCTGGATATCAGGCGTTTCTGAGGGGGAGGGGGGAAGAAGGGGAAAAGAAAACCAAAAGGGGAGACAGTGAAGGGAGAAAAAATTGTTTACTCTCTTCCCCCTCCTCCTTTCCCTAGCCCCAAAGGAAGGTCACATACTCAAATTAGATTCTAGGTTCATGGCCGCTGCCTTGAAACTTTTCTTTTTTCGATCCGTGAAAGTAAACGAATACAGTTGTTTTTCTAAATATTCATCTCAAGTATCTGTGTACGAAATCTGCTCCATAATCGTTTCACAATCGTTTAGTCACTGAAGAACATCATTTTTACCCTAGGAAGTGTCAAGACTGTTGAAGGAACGTTAGCTGGAATCTTATCACAACTGCTATTTTTGTTGATGTTACATTATACAGGTATTTTGAGTAACTATAAGTTAGCTCCCCTCTCCTCCCATTGCATACGTTTATAATTGGGCTGCCTATGGGAAAGCCCAATCGAAAAATGCAGGCCCTCGTCTGTGCAGCAAAAAGACAAAATCGCGGAAGGATCACGTTTCCCTTCCCCCTTCCTTGAGGCACCTTTTTTGATTGTTGAGGGGAGGTTAGGTGATTTCAAGAAAGGACGTATACCGAAAACAAACAAACAGACTTTTACCGAAAAATAATATTCGTGCGTAAAGGTATTATTTCTTTACTTCAGCCTAAAAAATTGGAAAAAATCTGATGCTACAATGAGTTCAATAGGAGTAGCTATACACTCAATCCAAAAAAAAGTTTAATTATCATCTATGCTTGCCAAAATATTAAAAAACGTGTCCCACATGAAAAGTCAACGATTTGAAAGATAAACAAGATAAAAAAGCGTATCTGGTTTATCAGAGTTTTAAAATAATTTCCAATCTTTGCTCTCACTTTTCAGGCGTGTTGTCGTTACCAAAAGAACGTTGGTTACCAGTCTCCGCCGCAGTGACAGCCGGGTCTTTGTTGGAGGCCTGGACTTTACAAATCGATAACATTATACTATCGCCATTTTTGAGTTCACTGTTACTGTACAACTGTAGATAACGAAAGTAAACCTGTGACCTGCAACCACAGGAAAGCAATTTCAAGACAATTTTGTTCCTTTTGTGGTGAAGCCTGTTTGTAGAGGTCATCAATTTTCCCTCGCGTAGCCTTAGAAAACCGCCCACATTTCGCGATGCCACCGCTGGTATCTCCGTGAAATGATGTCTGAGACAGGAGCGCAGAAATTCCATACTGATGACGCGTCACTACGCAGAACTGAGTAGTGTTTCTGATTGGTTGAAGCAAATTCCCACGCGGCAGGACCAATCGAGAGCACAACCCAGATCTGGGTAATGACACGTCATCAGTATGGAATTTCTGCAGTCGTTTGTCAGACGTCATTTCACGGGGAAACCAATGGTGGCTTCACGAAATGTCGGCTATTGTCTCAAGCTATGCTGATCGCAAAGCAATGAAGAGGCGTTGGAACACAAATTATGCGTTTTGTGGGGAACTCACGGAGTCTATCTTCCCTGTGTTGTGGACGGCGAGACTTCGATCCCACTGTGATGGAAAGATGCCTGGGACGAGGCTAGGTACAGAAGTTCTTTCAAGTTTTCGAAGCGTAAAGTAACTTTAAGCGAGACAGAATATCGGAACAGAGACGGAGTCTTAGGGTGTTGGCCGGGCTATGTTAATTTCGGTAAAGTTATATTTAGAGGTTGTAATTAAACGGAAGTCTAATTCATGAGACGTCCGCACCTTTTTATCGATTGTTTGAAACGTCATCATGTCCAAGCGCGACTACCTGAAAGCAAACAATTCAGAATATTGTAATAAACCAACCAAGGAGACTTTGGGAGCAGTCTTTGCATTGGTTGCTAATAAATAAATAAATAAATAAATAAATAAATAATAATGATTTGGAGGTGGCACATCCACAAAGTGGTTCTTCGTCTACCTGATTCCTGGTCGAATTGGACTTTGGAAATGTTGGTTTTTGAGGAGAGGGGAAACCGGAGTACCCGGAGAAAAACCTCTGGGAGCTAAGGAGAGAACCAACAACAAACTCAACCCACATATGGCGTTGACGCCGGGATTTGAAGCCGGGCCACTTTGGTGGGAGGCGAGCGCTCTCACCACTGCGCAACCCTTGCTCCCCTTGGTCCTCCCTTGCTAATGCGGTTTTCAGATTACTGTTAATCTTCAGAATGGGGTCTTCAGAACTGAACGATAAAATAACAAAAAATAAATAAATAAACAGTAAAAAGTTGAGCAAGGGAAAGGAGCTGGACTCTTTAAGGTTTGAATGTTATCATTTTAAAAGCCTTTTTTTTTCTTTTCATTGTTTCCCTGTTGTTTTCCTATGGTCAACGAACTTAAAAATGAGGAAAGGAAATTCAGAGCAGAGAGAGGTCGTACGTCGAGCATGGGGACGTTGTTGTTGTTTGTTTGTTTCTTCGCTGATGCCTTTTAATTTTAAATTTTGCAAACACAAATGTGACGGCTCCTCAAATGTTTCCTTTCCGTTAACACAGCCTTTGCCCGTGGGTGAAGACGAGTCTGCATGTGTTCAGTAAAGCAGAAGGGTCCCTTTAGAGTCACCCATGACAGCTTGCAGCGTCCTCTTCTGATTGGGAAAGACCTGCCAGCAGTTTACTGGTTCCCAGCCTGCGTAACAATGTAAATCTACGTGCAAAGGGACGAACAACTCCCAACATTGTTGGCCCAGCAATGTTGTGAGTTGTTGCGTGCGTGTTGGCAGTGGTGTGCAATGGATGCAACAACTCCCAGCAAGGTTGGGACCTGCAGTGTATCGTGGGAACGATACGTCCCATACGACCTTGGAGATCATGTGTATATGGGCGTGTGTGGCCCCAACAATGTTGGACGAGCAGTGCAAACGGATCCAACATTGTTGCGCCACTCTTCGGCGATCACGGAACAAAAGAAATATTGGGAGTTGTTGGCGCAAAAGGTTAACCGGTTTCAAAATTTACGCAACAGCTCCTAACAACATGCAACACCATGCAACAGGGTCTGAAACGGAGGAAACATATAACATCCAACAATGTTGCGTCCGTATGTACATGCACATATACATAACGTAATTCAAAATGGCGCCAAAAAGTGCTTATGCAGGCGAACAAAAAAAAAACTTGCTGAAAAGGTCACTGCTGAGTACCACAGGATAAACAAGTATGCCACAAAATTTCCAAAATTAGGAGTTGCGTTCTCCTAATATCGACCGCAGCCACTAGCATTCGCGTTGCGAAGCGATTTGTAATAGGTTTCATATATGTGACTAAATTTATGTAAACATGGCTTCAGCGAATGTGTACAAGTCCTCAGCTAAATATGTCCTTGGTACCAAGACTTTGACCCTCCCCACCCAGGACACTTGGTGACTGTCTTGGCCTCTCCCCAACGGCTCGCTCACTGTGAGAATCTATAAGCTCCACTGAGCTCTACTTTTATCTTGATAATCATTCTCAACAGAGGCCTGATTCAGGTGGCTAGGGCAAGGTAAGAACAAGGTACTTGCCAGTCAAAGCATCTAGTGAACACTGCTGCTTACTGAAAGGGTTGTGTCAAAATAGTCCCCTTCCTACCCCACTAGTTTTTTTCCCCCCATGCCTGATCTACCCACTCACTGTTAGTCACTGGACTATCCAGCTGTACCGACCAAGACGCTAAGCCTCCTACTTTTTTGGACACCGAACTGGCCTGGAGCCGGCCTGCGCGCCAGGCAAAAATTAAACAGGCTAGTGGCCAAGTTTTATCGAAATCAGACAGATATATAACAGTTTTATTTTAAAGAAATTCGTCTTATCGGAGCTTAACGTGAACAAGTGCAATGAAATACACTTGACCGTGCTGAAAAGACCTTATCGCGGTTTTGGAAGCCATCTTGACAGGTAGGTAGCCACGTTAGAAATTACCGAGTGTTTGTATAAGAACCTAATGTCGAATAATTTCCGTAAAACGGCTGTGTTCTGAAAACTGATATAAATTGTAAACTAAAGAGCATCACTCCTAACCTGGATCTTGCCGAAAAAAATTGAGGGCGTCACCTGTGCTAGACCGACTTTTTTTAATTTTCTGTACATTTGTCTGTAATATTTTTTTTCTGCCGACTAATTATTAAAATTTTCCCGGGAAAAATTGCAGGCAAATATAATATGGAAAATCTAAAGCAAGCGACTGGAGAAATTAAGCACAAGTATATGGCCCCCAAAATTTGTTAGTGGAATCCTTTGGGTAATAGCTGTGCAGCTTAAGTTTACCATTCCTTCTTTCTTCAGAACGTCCGTTTCACGAAGAACATTATTCGACTTTAGATCCTCATACAAACACTGTTATTTCTCACGGGGTTGCCTAGCTACCCGACAAAATGGTTTCCAAACCGTGATTAAGGTCTGTTTTGTGTTTCAGTATCGTTCTGAAGCGATCTCGGCTGGACTTGCGATCCTTTCTTAACCTTCATTTACTCATTATAAGGACTAAAGGCTACACGCCTCGGCGGTCTTGGGGCAATGTTCAGCTCTTTGCGAGCAATATCTAAGGAAATGCTTTATTTTCATACTGCAAATAAGACAGATATTCTGCGTAAAAATTTGACTTTCTAAAAGCAATATGATTACTAATATTTCTTTGCTCTTCCACTATTCAGAGACGTTATTTTAATAGCATGCCTGATTTAAAAGGATTCGCGTCTTAGGCGACAAAAAGTCCATGATTTCATCGAAAATTATCAAAAAGTATCTTTGCTGCTTTAATGAATGAGAGCCGGCATAGGAGCTTGTTGACTTTCATTCACGTAGAGAACAAACTTTCGTGCAAACATATGAAACTTCCCGGATTCGAGGACCTTCGCAACTCTACGGTTTTCTGTTTAGAATAATTTACGAGCGTAGTTTCGCCGTTTAAGGTAAACATAACTCTATAAAAAGACCTTTTTTATATTTTGTATAATGACTCATGCTTGGAAAAGAAACCAACCAATTAAAAGATCAATTTAAATCAGAACTGGAAACTGAAAATCAACTGAATCGCAGAAAGACCTGCCTAGCTTGAAGAGTAAGGAAACGTCCCAAGTGTTTGTGTACATATTAGGTATTATATTTCTGTTATATTTGCACACGAAGAAAAAGAAACTGAAAATGTCATTAATTCTACGTCATTATTTATCACTTTTTAAAATGTATATTATCTGATTTGCAAGTAAATTACGAAAGTAATTAACGTAATGTGCAACAGTTCAAAGAAAAAATTACCTTTTTTGGCCTCTCCATGCCCACCTTGCTAGGAGCTTTCCCAGCCGGAAGTAATTTTGCGAATTGTCACGTGAGTAAGGTAGTCTTCGATCCGTTGTCGTCACATCCCGTCGCAGCCATTATGATCACGAAGACCACTCGACATGTACAGTAAAACATGTCTCATCTAGGGAAGTTATTTAAACATAAAGGCCACAAGGCTCCTACGCCGCCAAGAAAAGACTATGATGGAACCAAGAGCGGTAGCGATGAATCTGAAAACGATGAAGGATATTTAGATCCAGTTGCTGTTCATCCGACCACTGATCCGGCCACGGCTGTTCAGTCTGTTCAGATGCCAAGCTATCCACCTCCGAGACCGAATCATTCGCCTTCCAGTCGACGCGTCCAGGATCCCGGAAAGAGGGCTTCGGTCCCAATAGGACTTGTAGCCCAGTTGAGTAGACCTCCAGTACCTAAGGCTAGATCACAGAGGCCTCAAAGTGCCGAGCACCTTCAAGGAGGAAAAACTCCGATTCCTGCTCAAAGACTTGGTTTGAAGGTTAGGTTACATGCATGTACGTCATGTCGTATTGTTGTGATATTTGCCCATGTGCAGGGCATATTTATTATAGTTTAACCATTTCCATGCAGAAAGGGTCTTTCCTCCTGGAAAAGCATTACATAACGTTAATTACCTCAGGAATGTATTTGCTGCAGCAAGCAGCTAGCCTTGACTTCCTCCGAGTTTACAAAGGTGTTAATTTTCGGTTCAGAAGCCAAACTTGCGAAATAGTTGTTGATGACGAACTCCAATGCATTTCATGGGCAAGACATGGTTTTCTCTTTGCTTCAATTCAAATAATAATTCTCAGTAATATTTTGGTAAACTCCAAGATGCGAAAGAAATATTTAACAAAAATTGGCGTTGTTTATAATACTTTAACAGAATAATAAGCCTCACAAGCTTCACAGGTTACAGTATGTCGTCTTGCAGCCAAAATATTCATAGTGTCTATTGTTGCTTTTATATATTTGGTAAAAATAGGTTGGTGTTGCTAGAGTACAGGAACTAACATTTCCCTGTTGTTTAATTTGATTATTGACAACAGTTTTTGCAAACAAAAAGTGACACTGAGTCAAGCAGAATACACAGTCATTTTTTTATGAGGCATTTTTTTAAAGAACTGTAGTTAAATACTATCAAACAAATCACACAAGACATACGTATACATCATGTAATGTTTTCTACAGAAATGTTGACTTTTTGCTACAGATGTAGGTTTATAAGTCGTTGTAAAGTAATTAATGTCAAATCACAAACTTGTGTAATGTTAAGCTGTACCAGTTAGTGTGCATTCAGTAAGATTGGCATTTGGGGTGGGAAACTGAATTGTAGTCAGCAGTAAATGAAACAAAAAAAAACAATTCCTAAAAGACACTTTTAAAAAATATATTTAGTGTATATAATAATTTATAATTTTAGTTTGACACAGAATACACTGTATGTAAGCTGTGGTATTTGAATCAATGCCATGCCAGCATTGTATAGCACGGTAGAGTTTGTCAAACTTAGTGCCTCTGCTAAAATCCAAATTCAAACCTTTGATTCAGACTTTGTGCTTCCCCCATCCTTGTGGAACTGGACTCTAGAATTACAACTTATGAACTGGGCAGCCCTCATGATTAAAGTGCCTTTTAACTGGTTTCGTGGCAGGTCAAGGTTGAAATTCTGTCTGGCTTTTTTGGGATGTAATTTTTCTTTTTTTTGGTATGGTGCATGTCTGTGCATGAGAATTATCTAATGACAAAATGACATTACATCTTCTCAGCTTTTAAAATCTATTACATAATTATATGTGTAGATTCTTGAGCTGTCCTACAATATTTGTAGGAATCAAGGTTACTGGAGAAATACACATGTAAAAAAAATTTCATAGACAATAATTTTTTGTTTATTAAATAGTTTAACCTAACTTTTACTCAATGGAAACTTAATTTTGATTATATACTGTCAACAATAATCATTCATACATGCTGTCTTTGTTATTATACAGTAGTCTGTTTTAACTTTTTTGTAAAAACTTTAAAGATGCAGACTATACATTTTCAGGAAGATCACTCTTATGAAAAAAATGTTTACCGCTGAAGCCTGTCTGGCTTTTGAATAACAAGTGTAAAAAAACTTGTGGATAATCTGAAATGGTTCTCTCAGTCAGCACAGAAACTGGTAAAAATTGATTGATGATGCTTACAAAATAATTTCAAACAAACCAGCTGATAAAAACATTGATAAGAATAATTTTACTCTTTTTGTCTTTTGTGCAGTTAATTTTCTTCCTAGTAGGCCAATTTAATTCATTTTCATGAATAGAAATTTGATGATATCTGTATCTCAATCTGAAGGAACAAAAGCAAAGTAGGAAGGTACAAGTATATCTACAACATACATGTTACAGCTCAAAATATTGGATTTCCGATTAAAATGTTTTAAACTACTGTAGGCTGATTCTCAATTTCCTTTTTCACCTAGGGCTAAGGAGACAGAGGAAATTGAAAATCAGCCTACAAATCAAAATTAACTTAGAATCAAAATTTGACTTGTGATATTTATTTTAAGTACACCAGTCAGTTTGTTGTATAGGATGCAGTGGAATAGTCTGCATTTGCCTTAGGAGTCACAGATAAAATTTACTACAAACTTAAGTAGTGAGTTTGAAACTTTTAAACATAAGCTGTTAATTAAAAAAAACTGCCATGATTTTATGAATTAGCTAAATTATGTGATGTTATATAAAAGGGGTGCTAAATATAATATTTTTAAGAATCATACATGTATATTGCTTGGCACTTTGTATGGTGATTTATCTAATGTACAGTAAAAATGTAGAACTTTGCTTTTGATTATAATTTTAATTCATGCATCTGTTGAAGACCTGTACTGCCATTAAGATGTTGAATGATTCGGACAAATATTAGTGATTGATATAACCAATTGAGTTAGAATTACAAATTTGCATTTTATTTTTGTCATTATAGTTTATATGTACTTCAGTGCATTTCTTATTGAAATAATAGTAAATTACATGGTGAATATATTTTTTTCTGGTTTGAATTGTATTTTTCTTCGTCTCGTTTTATGGCATTATTTAGAACATTTTGGAAATCGTTTTCAGCCAAGATTATTTTATTCTGTTCAACAACTGCAGATGTGCATGTTTGCATGTGGCACAGCTGTGATGTCATGAAAAAGATTATTTTTGATTTTCTGCTTCTCTTGATAATTTGCATATTGAAATAAAACAATTTGCTTCAGCCAGGTGTGTGAGGAAATTACAGGAAAAAAATATTCTTCTGTCCACAGTTCAATTCAAGAAGAAGGCACAGACTGTTGTTTTGCCCAGAAAATGTTTTAAGCAATGTGCCATTCTTATAACAAAGTTTTTTACATCGATATTTAATCCACAGGAGAAAGCCATATGGAAATACAGTCATAAAGTAGAACTCATTGTATAAGCCACAAACCAACCGTAAACAAAGAACCTTATTGATTAATGGACAGTCACGCTCTTGACAATACATCATCTTCTCGTCGATCAAGAGAAGAAAAAAGTTCAATCCTCAGAGTTGTAAATATTTCATCAAAATAAGTGTGAACATCACTATGTTTCTTCAAAAATGTAACTGTGTGCGGGTCAGTAAATCAGAGAAGAATCGGATAAAGGTAAAGCATAGGTTTATTGGTATAATTTTAGCATTTTATGGTTTTTTGACACATTTGTCAAAATGTTCTTTTGAATGAGTAGAATAAGATTTGGGGTTTTTTGTTAGACAGATTTTGAAGCAGTTATTTAACTTGGCAAGCTATTTTGAAAACCTAAATTTACATTGTGTTACATGTGAATGGCCAGTATCAGCTTGATGGTTGAATTGGTTGAATTTTTGTTGTTACTTGTCTATTTACAAGACGTTGTTTAGACAAAGGAAGATGTACATGATCATAGCATTGTATTCTTTTATTTTATCTTGGTACAGACAGTGACAGCAATGGAAGTAATGGTTCCTTTTACTATATGTTGGATGTGATATCATTATTTGCCTTAATTTAAGTTTGTGTTTTCCTTCAGACCTACAAATTGCCGCTGTATTTCTTTGATTACTTTTTATTTGTTTTCCACTGTATAGCTAGTTGTAAATTATACTTGTAAATATACATGTAGTTTAGATGTTGATGTGCATGTTCAATGTGAATACATACTGTACAGAAATGAAGAACTTCCTGTAGTTCTACTGATTTGTCAGGGAAGGGATAGTTGTTTAAGCTTCCTTTCCTTTACCACTTTAGGCATTTGATCTTATACTGTTGTTGTATAATTTCTGGTAAATGGCAAAAATGATTGAATGAATGCATGAAGGAACAGATGAACAAGTGAACGAACGAACGAATGAATGAAAGCTTTTTATTGAATCATTTATTATTTTAGTGACTGTGGATTTTGCGATGATAGTTTTTAGACAGTTGTTTTTTTCACTTTTTAGATTTTTTATTATTACATGTAAAATGTACATGTACTTGACTTGTAAGTGAAAACCCCAATTTACAGTGGACAACACCAATGGGACTAGTAAAAGTGTCCATTTATGATAGGTAAAATAAGCTACTTGTTTGTTTCAATTAAGTGCCCACTTATGATGGGTGTCCACCAATTGGAGGAGGAGTTTGTGAGTGGAGGTTCCCCTTTAGTCATTCACAGAGATGTGATGATCACATGTGTTGAGTTTACTTTACCATGTAGATATGTGTTGTTCTGTCTGAACCAGAAAGTCTCTGATGTAACGTAGGCGGGTGCCATACTGAGATGTGTCTATGGGGAAAGTTAGATTTACATGTATAATATTATTAATATTAATTTGTTTATAATTTATGTTGATCCTTCTCTTGTAGATACAAGGTGATGACTATTCTGATCCCTGGGATGCCAAAAAAGCAGTCTCTCCTGGTGGTGATTATTCCGATCCGTGGGACGCTAAAAAAACACAAGCCCCTCCAGGAGATGACTACTGTGATCCCTGGGACAAGAAACCAACTGCACCTGATTCAGTGAGAAAAACATCCAAAGATGATTATTGTGATCCATGGGATGCTAAAAAGGATGGTTCATCACCACCAGAGATCGTACAAGTTACGAAAGACAAAAGTAAAAAACCTAGTAGTGACGACTCAGATGAGGAAGGTTATGATGAACCATATGACCTTGGAAAAGTCACCGTATTAGATGAACCAATGAAAAGATTTTCCTTGAAGGGGATGAGACCATCACCTCAAGATGATAGTAGGCAAGTATTGTTTTAATTATCCATGCTTATAACAGCTGTGTGATAATCAGTAACAATTCCTTAATATTAACAATTAGTAAATGAGGCTGAGTATCTTATGAAGAATTATGGAGGTCGAGGAGGGTGTTGGCCAAGGTGGATAACACCCTCCGAGATCTCCATAATTCTTCATATGATACAAAAGCCAAATTCAATAATTGTTTTATTATTCATTCAAAATAATTCCTAGTTTAAAAACATAGCTAAAACATGCTTACCTCCATCGATGTTAAGTTCATCTTCGATAGTGCATGTTTAGGGTTGTTCAGCTCCGCAAATATTCTCTAAATACTAGATGTCACCCTTCAAGTTGTCTTCTTAAACTGTTCTTGCCATGTTTTTAGCTTTTATTTTGCCTAATTCTTACTCTTGGAATGAGTGAAATGTCCACCATTCTTGTTTTCACAACCAAATTAACTCAGCCTCGTCCCCAGGTCTTCACGGTTAACTGTGCATTAACATGCAAGAAAACTGCACTTTTGTCATCATCGGTTCATTAATTGCAAAATTCTTCCAAATTTGGTCATCAGTAGCTGGTTATGGTGAATTATGCATGTGCTTTTAGCCAATCAGAAGCAGGGAAATATTTTGAATGAATAATAAAGGAAATTAATTGATTCTCTGTGAAATTAAGGCATTGGAAATTAACATGACTTAAATTAATGGGAATTCAGTGGAAAACAACTTCAAACTAGAGGAAATCAACTCAAAAGAGAGGATAACATTTCATAATGAAGGAATAAAATTGACATGACACTCGCAAAGATCGGATTGGATCGGATCACGCATGTTTTGACCATCTGTTACGTGAAACTTACACAAAGCACAGTGTTGCAGCAAAAGCATTTTGATGTTCGATCGTTGTCACCCGCACTCCATAACCTTTGGTTATTACTAGTCTATTATTATGACTCTCGCAAAGAAAGGTTAAATGCATTATCTGAAATGGAAACTTTGTGGTACTTTCTCTAAATGTAGTACGAAGGGCCAAACAAAGATATCTGGTGCCACTTTGAGTTTTCGTCACTCCTTTTTCTTACATGTAGGTGTCAAGAATGTGAAAAGTTTATCCAAAATATTGGAAATTAAGGTCGTGGAAATTATCAGTCCACTTAATTAATGGCATGGAAATTAGCATTTCTTAAATTAGCCCATTGTTTTGAAATTTGTGTTAATTTCATGAAGCATTAATTTCCTATAATAAGGTACATGAGCATAAGAAAGGTGCTTGAGAGTTGAACATTATTCTTAGAGTTTAGGAAATAAGGTGAACACTGCAGAAGAGTCTGTGTGTAATCAGGACAACCCTAAGAACAGCAATCACTTGATTCCATTTTGTCTGAAAAATTAGTGAAAGAAAACGATCATATTTACCTAGTACATGTATTAATGGGTATGATGGTTAGCAGGGCTGTCAATATACAGCCTGTACATGTAGGCCATCCAGGAGCCAAAGATTTCCCCAGCTGTTTGATTCATTGCTTACTTGCTGTATTTTACCCAGCAACTTGAAATCTCAGTGACAGCCCTGAGTTAGGGAACAAAAAGGCTTTCAAAGGTTATACTGTGCACTGTTTAGTAAGTACGGGTGACAAGGGGAGCATGCCATCCTAATCTCCAGGTTTTTATTACACATGCATCGCATGTGTGTAGTTAGCATTCCTTTGGACCTCCACTAAGAATGTATGAAATGCACAGAACACACTTTGATCATGCACATTTGGACCTTCTATCACTGGTAATCTGATCACTTGTGTTTTGACCGTCTGTCACGTGAAACTTGCACAAAGGACAGTGTTGCAGCAAAAGCATTTTGACCTTTGATCGTTGTCACCCGCTCTCCATAACCTTTGGTTATAACTAGTCTTTTATTATGTTTCAATGCGACAGACCGCAAATTGTCATTGCTGGAAGTAACTGTACACCTCTGTATGTTGTAAATCTTCATCAACAGGGTGCTTAAACTGTGGGCAATTCCACAATCATTGTTTTTGAACTCATAAAATCCTATATCACTGTAGAGCATTAGTTTTGCAATATAGGAGGAGCCACCTACAACGTGAACACAGTTACTGATACATACATTGTAGGTGCAGACAGTGCACAGTACTGCTGCTGTACTGTAATGTATATTGTAGAATCCTATAATATAGAATTTTTCACTTGAAAAAAAAAAATTTTTTTTATATGTTCCATTTTCTCTTTCTGTGCCCATGTACATGTGAAATGAAAAACTATTGGAAGAGAAAATTAATGTTATGTTTTACCTGTACCTTGCAAATTTAATGTCTAACAATTTTTTCAAAAAAAAAAAAAAACAAAAGTGTGCAGCTCCTCTATATTGAATAGACCTGCTTTAATTATTTATAAATATTTTAGCATTTGATCATTGAATTTTATTTGTTTTTGTGTAGGAAGCAAAGCCCAAGCAGGGACCAGAGACCCGCAGATGACTATGATTCACCATGGGAAAGCAAATCATTGATGCCAATGATGCAAAAATCACAAGGAGTAGCACAAAACAAATCTCAGTCACCAGTCAGTGAGAGACGGTCTTCTGATGACTATGAGAAACCATGGGAATATGATCAAAAATCACTGCTCAATGGTCAAAACAAATCACCAATGCACCCTGGATTACTTCAGTCCCCTAAGGCTGATGCCCGGCCAGCTGATGATTATGACGCTCCGTGGGAGTTTTCCAAGACTGGCCAAGCTGTTCAGGGGACAGATGTTAGGGGTATGGGTGCTGCTGCCGCCCCAAGAAAACCTCCTAGGACTTTTGCTAATCAGCCAGGAGCTGTTGATCCAAATTTGCCACTGGAGCAACAAGGGTAAGTTTATGATCTTTGTTAATGTACCCCATGTTTCACTCTCCCTGATTGTCTCGTCACCAGGACAACAAGGCATTCCAGCCTTCAACTTCAACATTAAAATTACTTACTCATAATCAGTTATTTGAAAACCTTTGATGAAGTGACCATGTCATAAATATATATATACAGCGATAAATCCTAACATATGAAACATAAAATATAAAAGTTCAACTGTTCCAGGTCTGTAAGTGTACATGTAAGTGTACCAAGTGGCATATCACAGTGTGGCAAAAAACAATCACTGGTGCAGAGGCCCATCACTTGCATTTGTTCATGTAAAATGTTAATGTTTAGTAATGATGATATTTTATTGATAATAACATCTCTTAACAGTGTTCCTGCCAAGTATTTCAACTTTAAATCTCGTACATTTTTTTTGGTATTTTTACCTGTGATAGAGAGAGGGTATCCAGTAGGACACCATGTTTTTTTTTTTTAATGACTGAAACGGGAAGGGTACATCAAGTCACTGTATGGTGTAAAGTAAACTTTTTGGATCAATGGTTTCAATAGAAATGTCTAAGAAAAATTTAAAAGACAACAATACTTTATTGTGGAGTACAGTATCTATGTTGCCATCACTTGTATTTTTCAGGCTCGGGACAAGGTTAAGAGCATCATGAAAAAAAATCTGTCTCTTGAACTTAAGAACACAGTTAATAATAATATTATTGTTTGTTGTTGTTGTACAGTTGGTACCATGGACCTCTGAAACGACTTGAAGCAGAGAAACTTTTAAAGGAAGCTGAGGACTGTAGCTTCCTGCTGCGAAACAGTGAGAGTAGTAAAAATGACTTCTCGCTGTCTGTTAGGTAAGTCTCTAAACTTCAATAATTATAGTTGCGTTATTTGTAGTTGAAGTTAAGCCATTCACCCCTGAACCGCCTGTAACCGCCCGTGCGGATCCAGGTCCTTTCTACCCTTTGTGACGTCATCAGTTTTAACGGTCAAGGACAACTTTCTTCGCTAACTTGTGCAGAGTGAAGAGATCTTTCAAACCATACCAGAATGAGCATAATTCAGTCAAGGACACCGACAAAACCACGGAGAAACCTGAAAATCTTGTTCCAAAAACCATGTGACAAGGAAAAACCTTCCCACCAAAATGAAGCCTACTAAATGCCCAGCAAAAAAAAAAAAATGAGGCAAGAAAAGCGAAAAAAAAAAGGGAGGAGAGAAAAAAAGTTAAAGTCTTGTTCCATTTTAAACCCAAAAACCTACCTCTCCTTTTTTGCATCTGGATCAGAAGGCTAAGATCCCTAAAAAGCTTTTATAGCACCTAAAAAACCACTCTTCCCAAAATCCAAAAATGAAATATATTTTAATAATATAACTTCTAATGAAATGAGCACTCCAGTGATTGATTTTCACATAAAGGTTTGAAGTCAAAGAGTGTTACACTCAAAGGAATGTAAACAAATTACATGTATACCAGGCTGTATAGTCAAGATACAAATTTAAGTAGAGGTGTAGCAGCCTTTAAGCCATTAAGCCCAGGCTTAGCAAAAATTTTGGGTAACATTAAATGAGCTCAATGCCATGTAAATTGTAATCGATATATCAACAGGGTGTGAAATTGCAGATACAAATACAGATGCACCTGCAGCAATGTCTGTTGAGGTGATGAGAAAAACTGGCATATAATTCACTTGAATGCCTTCTTAGTTTTTCAAACTTGTAGATTCTAAGGGATCGCATTTGTTTATGGGTGATTCCATGTTCAGGGCTTCTGATAGGTCACCAAGTATTTTTTTTAGGGACAAACGTTTTTTCTAACAAACTTCACCAAATGAGGTCATCATTTTGTGGTTATTTTCAAGGCAAATTTCGCTAGAAATCGATCGATTTTGGGCTGACCGGACCAGTATTTTTAACGTTTTTCTAACAGAGGTCATCATTTGCTCTTTCAACAACAATACGCTTCAGAAATGAACCAATGACAAAGCTTTTAACATCATGGCTAGTGCCCAGTTTTTTGCAACGTAATCTATGCCTGGTAGTTTCGGGACATTGTTTGCACATTACAGTGTCGAAGTTCCAAGATAAATTTGCAAGTTTATGGCAAGTAAATAGCCCCTATAGCCGAATTAAGTTTCAAATATGTTGTACAGACATGTATTTGATAAGATTTCTACCGAATTTCACGGTATTTTTCGTGTTTTTGTGAATTTCACGGGATTTCACAGATTTACCTGAATTTCGCGGCTCTGCGACCGCGCGAAATGTTGATTATATTTTGATTACCTGAGCACTGGAATCATATAGGTTTAAAACTTATAATATTGGAGGGTCTGCTCTCAAATAACTTAATAAAAAAGTGTTGCCCTCATTTACTCCTTGTTTGATTTGATTTTCCTTTTGTTCTGTTTTGTTGCCTTTATTTTAATTATGCGGACTTGCTTATGGAATGGGCCTCCACTTTGAAATATTAAGAAGCTATTAGGGGAGCCTGGTGGCTCCTACAAAAAAGAGTTTATTAACCCGTAAGTCCCAGTAGTGACCAACATCAATTTTCTCCCAATGATATCCATACATTGTCAAGAGACTAGGCTATGAGAATTAATAAAATGATCAGCTAAGAGGAAATACTTTGATGTTTTGTCAAATTCTCTCAACTCATTCTTAAAGGAAATAATATAGAGATCAGTTTGGAGAATTTGTATGTGGATATTGTGGCTTAAAGGGTTTTGAATGCCCTTTTTACAATTTGGGCTCAAAAGGAAAAATGGCTGGCTACCCACTGTTGAGGCTATTCATTCTTTTTATTTTGTTGGCAAACTCCTAATTGGCATGAACATAGAAGTAATTTGCTGTAAATTTGCCTGAGTTGCTACTGATCAACCTTCATAATTGGTTTACAATAATTCAATAATGTGTACGTTGTATAATAACCCAAAGTGTCTTTTTATTTTGCAGAATTAAAAATTCGTTCATGCACTTAAAGATTGTTTGTCAAAACAACAAATATATATTGGGACAATTTAGCAAGCCGTTTGATACGGTACCAGAAATGATTCATTATTACTCCATCAACAAGCTGAATATCAAAGGAGCAGAACACAAACAACTTTTACACCCAGTCATGCAACAACCGGAATATTTTACCTTGGAACCACCTGTATATTCTACTGCAATGTGAAATTAAATGATTACACATCAAGGGCCTTGATGCAGAATTCAACCAGCGTTTCCAAGTTAACCCTTTCATTTCTAGGTCAAGTTAGGGAGAGATTGTTTACCATGGCCACTTTAAATTCTGTTAATGGAATCCTCTGGTGTTACCCAGGGTTCTCCAGAAAATGTAGATAGGTCGAAAAAAGCAAAAAGTCTTTCAGATGGCTTAGCCACATGTGGCTCCCCCACCCCTCCCCCCATGAAAATTGTTATTTGGGGGGGGGTCTGAAAGTGCATTTCTGTCCTTTTTGAGCGATCAATTTCATTTTACCTACATTTAACTTTTTTTGTACCATAAACTATGCTTGTTTTTATTGAAGGAAAGATTTATTGCTGTCTTAAAATAATATTGTTTTGTGTGAGTAGCTGGCACTTCCATGGCCACTAGGTGGCAATTTTACCAGTTGCTGGACCTTCTGGAGAATCCTGGTTACCATTCAAATGAAACTTCTTTGGCCGAAACTTTTCGTACATATAGTATAATTATTTTTTTCCAGGGATTTCATTGTCAAATTTTTTCTTTGGCAACAATAATTATTAGGAATCAAAGGGTTAACTGAAATAATTATTATTGAAGATAAAGTGAAATGTAATGAAATTAATCACGGGTCTTAGGTAGTTTAAGACTTAATAGCTGAGATGTTTAAATCTTGACATCTTAGCTTAGGTTGGCTTCCAAGTAAGTCGGTTTCTGTCTTGGTTTATGCTCAATTTAATCCTGGATTTTCAGAATTTTCAGCATGGAATTATATGTTATAGTTATTTTAATGCCTCCAGTGCTTCTTTGTATGGCCTGCAGGTATCCTGAACTGGATTACAATAATATTATTCTCCCTTCCAGAGCCATATTAGCAGATTTATAACGTAGTTTTAACTCTTACATCTGTGAAAAATACTCCTGTCATGTCACCGTTCAAAATGTAAAAGTACCTCTACATGGTATAAGATTTAATCTTAGTGTTTTTACAGGTTTGGGTATTCCTGGTAGGGACACACAGGGTTAGATGTAAGGGCAGTCACTCTGTGTTCAAAGGTCTCCAAGCAGACACTTGTAAACAGACAGTTTACAATAGGCTAGTTTTCAATTATTAAAATTTATACTTGGCTAAGGGGAATAAAACAAAAGAATTGCATGGAGATTCATGGATGAATGATTCATTTTTTTTGTTTTATTCCCATCAGCCATGGAGTCAAGTATGAATTTTGATGATAAACTGGCCTCTTGCCTTGCTTGGCAATCATTAGCATGCAGTGCACAGTCACTGGAACTCGATGGGGTTATATGGTGCCTGAGTTACAGAATTTTTCCAGGCAGTTTCTTCTCTCTTATTCAGCACTTCTCAGTTTTCCTCTGTTTCAAACTAAATTGAACTCTTCACTTACAAGAATTCCTGTGGTAGTCATAAGTTTTATTTCCTTGCAAACAGTGTCTGCTTGCAGAAGCTTTGACTGTATATCTTTTACATAAGAATAAATATATTTGAAGTAATTACAATTTAGTTCAAGTAAAAACATTCCTAACTTAAGGCATCGTAATGAAGACCAAGTGTCTCCATATTGTTCTGTCAATGAAAGTTCACAATAGGGCAGGGGGAACTCAATTTTAATTTTTGAGAAATATCAATTTGTGTCAATATAGTGTTTGTTTATTAAAATCAATCATAAATCTCTTAACCAAAATTAGTCATAAAATTATGTAATTTAGATTATGCCAAAATGTCTCAATTGAACCAATCTGGGACTCCAAAATATTGACTGTAAAACTGAATATACAAAGTAAGGCTTGCTGCAACTGTAGTTTAGTGTACATTATTTTATAGGTAATAAATTTAAGCAAATTAACTATTAAATTTATCACTGTTTTGCAGGCTTTCATCAATGCACTTCCTTAAGATTATATGAATATTAATTATTTAATTATAGCTAGTCATAAATTTGTGACCAATGTAGAGTGATCGATTGATCATGACATAGTTATTAGAGGAGACTGGTTATGAAAAGCGGCAAACATCAATGATAAAAACAACAGTGCTGCAGTTTATGTTCAAAGCACCGTGAAAGTGCACAATCCTTTGTTTTCTGTTGGCAAATTGTTACGGAATAAATTAATGCAACGTTTTTATTGGTCAATACAATCAAAATGATAGGAATTCTTTTGAACGTTGTGCACTTTCAGGTCCACAAAAACATATAACAACGGAGTCTGACGGGTTTCATAACCATTCCACTCAATTAACTATGATCATGACAAGAATGAGCTCCTGGCAACACTGAGTGCAATAATCAACAGGCACAAAGCCATCTTTTGTACTCTCTGGATATTTACAACAATTGAAACATGAAAACCTGACCGATCGACTCTTGCTAAGATAAACAGTCACCATAGGGTACTTTTGCTAACATTTTCTAACCCTTTTGGTCATGTTAGCTCTTACTTCCGGTACCACTAATCCAGAGCGACTTGTGCCCATTTCCGTTTCCGGATGCGATCTGATCATTAGTCGGTTCCCATGAACATAGACTCCAAGTAGTCCCCCATTTGTCCTCAGGGATAGTAGAGCCAGCGCGCGTGAAAATCACCCCAGGCGAGAAGAGCGACACGCCTTTCTCGCGTGGGGTGATTTTCACTCGCGCTAGCTCTGCTATCCCTGAGGAAAAATGGGCGACTACTCGTATTCTACCATGAACATCGAGATCCTTACCGCCGCTGTTTTGTCAATCCTGAAGTAGAACGATTTTTTCCCATTTCTTAAGCATTTTGAATATTGCTCCCTTGGAATAGTTTCAAAAAGACTCTAGAAAAGTTCGCTCGGCAAAATCAACTGCCGTGACTGGCTACGGTGTCTAGGTTAGAGGTGAGGTGGCCAACCTCGTCCCGAGGGCTGGTGGACGGGGTGCAGCCGCCGAAACTAACCAAACTCCTCGCTAGATGTCATTAGAAATCTTAATTTCGGTCATCTAGCGATAGCCCACGTTCGATATATTAAAATTCTAACATGACTCCGAGGAAAAAAAATATAGGAAAATGACCAGAAAGCCTTGGAGTCATTGCATGTTAGAATTTTAATATATCGAACGTGGGCTATTCGCTACCTTATATAATCAGTTATTTAAATTCTTGATATCAATGCAGTCGATGGCCGATGAGCTTGCTTTCTCTATCAAGCAGAATTGCCAGAAAATGTTTTGTAAATGTCTCCTGTGAGTCTATGTTACACTCCCTATGACGTTATTAGGTTGAAGCCTAAGTATGTTTTCAGTTGAACTATTCTAAAGCTACTTTGGGACACATTCCATTATGATTCTCCTCTCCGAGCTTGCTGGTCTTTTGGGTGTATCTGTTGTGGTTTAATTATTTCACTCTCGGTTCCAATTTTAAGACTAATTCCCTTTGTATTTTATGTCTGCCTATGGGTTTCGAAACGAAGGGTAAAATAATTTGAACCAAGGATAAAACTGAACCAACTTCAATATTCAATATAAAGGCTTCTTAATTTTGGATTTAGCTGAAGCTCTTAAATCGTCTGAAGGATCAATATAATCTCTTGCGTTGGCTTCCCAGAAATTTCAAGTGAAGGATATGGTATCTTATAGTCCTAAGCCGACTTATGTTAGGTATAGTGGACAACCTGACCCTTATATAAGATATATTTAAAGCAAACATTTTACAAATAGTTGTGCCGTAATCTCATGAATTAATACAAGGAAAGAATCCATGCATTTTCCTCTTGATTGCCGGGGAAGAAACATGAGTTTAATGTATAATGTTATGTTGCAGATCGTAAAATCGGGCAAAGTTGTCCATACTCTTCGTTCCAGAGGATTCGTCAGTCTTTAATAGTACATCATCATCAAGCCTCTGTAGCCATATTAGAATCTCGGTTGCTGTTCCAAGGGATAGAGTCACTGTCGTCCCTAGCCGAGCCTTTTTTATCCTTGCATGACCAAAAGGATCGCAACTTCTGGAAAAGGCCGCATTAGGGAGAGTTTCCAAAAAACTGCTTCAAACATTTTACATATAACCAAGTGCTTCTTATAACTACTGGTTTTTAAAACACTTAAATGTGCTTGACAAGCTGAATTTGCACAGTCAGTATCAGTTTCTGAGGCAACGAAACTTGTGCAACAGTGCGAATGCTTGCGAATATCTGTGAGTATATTGTGTTTGAAAAGTAATTTCTTAGTTTTAAAAAGGAGTCAGACATTAATTAAAAGTGTATTGAGTTTATTTCTTGAGTTCTTCCCGAATTAAAGTGCTGGTGTTTTTGTTTCGAACCACGCCCTGTTTTCAACTTGGTAAACACGCGCGATCATCTTTTTTCACTGAGGCCTTTTTTGAACAAGATCGAACAACTTTGTTAAAATTTACTCACAGATCACGGAGGTGAACTGCAAGTTTGTGAAACGGCTTGAAAAGCCACTCTCCTAGACAAGTGAAAACCAATACTCAACTGTGTCAATATTCCCTCAGTATAAAAACTCTTTGGAATATTTATTTGTTACTATTTCTTTAACTTTTCTTTATGAATTAGTAATGATTTTAAAAGTCAGAACAACAGTTAGCTACAGTTTGTTTTATAATTACCGTTCTATTTGTTACATAGTCCCGTTGAGAAGGGCAGAAATGGCATTGACGCCGAATGTAGCTTGATAACTGAAGTCCGCAGAGCACGTAAGAGCGATACAGGCCCCTCTGAATGAGACAATTCACAGGGCGTGATAATTGACAATTACCACTGGCTTCTCTATCAAAATGTTGTTTTTTTAAACATCCTACGCGTTGAATCCGCTACGACGGTCAGCTTATCCTGGTATAACAGGCGTCGGAAGAAATACAGGCGTAATAGTATTATTGCGTGATGGAAGCACAGCAAACGACAGCTCCAATATAAACATCTAGAACTATATAGTCGGAATTCAGATTGTTTGCTATCAATTTCAGCTCAACGCAGCGATGGCACGCCAAAGAAATCAAGCCGTGTTTGTGTTCTTTGTAATAATGGTTCTTTTTGCTGTTTCCTTCGTATTTTCGTTTCCTCGTGAAAGCCGTTACGGCCTTATACCAAGGAGGGGTATGTTATCTGTTTATAAACTACTCAAAATTAGCTTTGAAATCCTTGATTCCTAATTGCCATTTCCACGATCATTGTGTTCAATGGCCTAACTGCCGATGTTTCTCTCTCTCTCTCGCTGAACCAGGCTAACATAGCTAAAATTTTCCACTTTAATTCCTGTCTAGTATTTGCCAAATACGTTTATAGCCGGCATGGAATGGTCAGTTCGTTCCTGTCTAAAGGAAGTTTCAACCTCAAAAACGGAGACATTTTTAAACGACCACCCTCTCAGTAACCTGCTCAGAGTGTCTGAAAACAACTTTTCCAGCATTATTTATCGAAGGAGAGCCAAGGATATCTTGAACACACCTATTTAATTTTAAATTTGGTACGAAATGGCGGTGAGTCGAAACAAAAAGAAATGATCACTTAGCCTAAAATACACTGTTTTTAAGAAAAGGAATTGCAATACTCTGATCTATATTGTCTTTAAATAGAATAAAACAACTGACGATATTAAGTTCATCTTCTCGCCGACAAATTTTACCACACCTGGAACGCCTCTGAAATGATTGGAATACTCTCGCGGATAATTCAGAAGACGACCTTAATACGTAAAAATTCTAATAACAATTGATATCCTATTCGTTTTCATACACTATGATATGGAAGCGCGCAGTATGTTTTGGTCTGCACCAACGACTCTACCAAACGTAGGCCGTGGTGGATTTTGCTCCTACATGAGGACCCGCAAGACTTAGAGATCGGCGAAGTCGGTCCAAGTGGCATATTATGCTACTAGCAGTGCTCGAAATTTTGCCAAATTATGCCAAAATTATGCCTGAATTCCCCAATTATGCTCCTGATTTCCGAAATTATATGCTCACAAAATGACGTAGATTCTGTACATATAGGCGCGAAATAACGACACCAAATTATGATGTTTTTCAAATAAACTGTTGTTGTAAATTTATTTGTGTTTTATGGCAGTTTGTCTCGGCCCTCAGCTGTCCAAATTAGCTGCTCGCAACTCTGAAACGTCTGTAAAATGCCTTCAACGACTTAACGATC